ACATACACAGAATTTTCATAACAACTGAAGGTGATATACAGTAGTTACTTGATTTAGGTATAAAATTGAATTATATGCCTGAGAAACAAATAATATTATCTCTAACTTTTACATTTAGATTGACATATTTAGATTGAGAGTTTAACACTTAGACATACCATTTAACATTTAGTAAAAATTAGCAAAGTGTAAGGGCAGTGAGCTAAATAATACATCAATGGATTTTTCTACAATTATACACTGACAAAGTGAGCTAAATGAGGCGCCCCATAGTCGTGTTAGTCATTAAATAACATTCATGATTGTGAAGAGTGGATGTAAACGTCTGAGCACAGATGTACCACAGACCAGGAGGTGCCAGATGACTGAAGTAACAAGTCTAGTTCGTTCCTTGTATCCACATTCTTCAGTCTTTTTACCATGAGCTCTACGAGGAAACATGACTCAGCAGCTCTGGTGACTAACAGCAGGGACTGTGAGGCAGCAAACAGAGCCGCTGGCCAACAGACTGACATTTAACTAACAGCTTTCACCTGCTGATTACAACAGGGAGTATCAGAAAGGTCACCAGGACAGCTGCTTCACATTCTGAGACCAGCTTCTGTCAGTGTTCCAGTCAAACTGTGTGGACCAAACAGCTCGCTCGCCTCTTTAAAGATATTTATAATTCATCATTCATTATTTTTTATTGCCAATTTTACACCAAAAGCTTCCAGAGTGTGATTTTAAAAATGTTTTATTAAATTGAACATATAAATGTTTAGTGAACTCAATACAAGATGGCTGCCATGGCCAACAGACACTCTGAAACACAAAATAGGCGTAACTCAGTCTGTTTTATAGATACTGAGCTACAACCTGGTGTAGCTGAGCATTAACACTAAATGGACTTATCTACATGCCGAGCAATATTTTTTATCTAAAACTTCAGCGCTAACTGTTCATTTGATGTTCAGTTAAACGTTTGTTGTCAGCATAATTCAAGATGGCCACCACAGCTAATCTACTTTAACCAACAGTGTCTGTGTCTCAGTTCATGGGTTGCAGCTGAAGTAGTTTTTGGCTGTTTGTGTCATTGCTCTACATCAGAGGTGTCCAAAGAGGGGTCCGCGGGCCAAATTTGGCCCGCCAAGCCATTTGATTTGGCCCACTAGTTGTCCTGGTTCCTTGATTGTAATATCCTGTCTTATGTAGATATACTATATTTACACTTAGTCTTTTCAACCATTGGTCCAACTATAGGTACAAGGAGCTGTAGTCAGATAGTCCTAACTCATGGTGGTACTTTATCCTTGAACTTAAAATACAAGTAACTTCAAGAGACATTTATATTAGATTTAAGTCCATATCTAGATTTCCACACCTTATAAGACCACATATACCGGGTACTCAAATTTTAAATTATGAAAAGTCCCATGAGCCTTTGTTACAGAGCAAATGTTGAATTTTTTCCATGTCCATGGGCTGAAAAAACAAACAAAAAAATGAGGGCAACCGCACTGGCTGCTAGCTTAATCATAAAAAATACAACTTTACTTGAAGTATTTGCATTTCGTGTATTTTATTATTGCATTTGGCCCGTCACCCTCAGATTGATTTTAATCTTGGCCCTCTCAGGGAAAATGATTTTTAATCTTGGCCCTCTCAGGCAAAATGCTTGGGCACCCCTGCTCTACATGGTAGGCTGTCCCAATTCGTAGTCGCCTACTCATGCGGCCGATAACACCCAAAAACGTAGGCTGCATCCTACGCTGTCAAGAGTATCCCAGAATTCATTGCACTGTCAGCAAACTAAACATGAAAACGAAGACGGCTGAGTGTTTTTTTTTTTTTAATTTTACGACAGAGTTTTATTTTTATTTTATTTTTCACAGTGGAGTTTGAAAATTTATCACAGATCGAAGAATTTGTTTTGAAATGTACGTTTAGCAACTTAGTTGATGAAATTTTTGTTGCAATGAGATG